TGGTCTCCACCTCACAGGGCTGTTATGAGAGTTAATGAGTTCATGTGCTTAGCTTTAAAGCCCCTAAAACAGGGCCTGGCACATAATAAATGTTAGTAGTTGTTGATTATTATTACTTTTGGCTGAAAAACTCTGCTCCTCCTTTAAGATATCAGCTGTAATGTCTTCTCCTTCAGCAAGCCTTCACCAAACCCAGGCTCCATTAATACCCATGATGCTACACTCAGGCCAATGTTACCAAGGGACTATTTGTTCAATAATGTCTCTCTTCCCATCCTGACTGAATTCCATGAGGCTAGAGGCGGGCCTTTCTCGGTGCAGATTTTGTCCACAATCCTGGCATACTGAACTGAGTGATTGTGAATTTAGTAAACACAGTGTATGTGGCTGGGTATGTAGATTAACTGTATGACTGTGTGTACAGGTATGTAGATGTGTGGGTGCCCATGTGAAGGCATGTAGTCTCATGTGCCTCCCTTTTTTTTTATTCAAATATTGAGCATCTACTGTGTGTTGGACACTAGGGATACATTACCAGCAGAAGGTTGCTAATAACCTTATTCCTGCACCTTCCTCTGTTGAAAGTGAGCCTCCATTCATGACCAAAATTGTGACATTTGTACAAATAATTACTCCTGAGAAATGATTATTCCTGCGGTATAATGTCCAGGAATACTACATGGAATAGTTCTACTCTTTATTTTCTTATTGTGATTTTGGTGAAAGCTTACAGAGTAAGTTGGTTTTCCATTCAACAATTCATACACACTTTGTTTTGTGAGGTTCCTTGCAGTCCCCTCATTCTAACAGTACTCTTGCCATTTTTTCCCTGTGTTTACCATTTCCCTTCATCCTGTCCTTATTTCCTATGCCTTCCTGCCTTCTGACCTTTACACCAGGCAAATGCTGCCCTTTTGATCTCCTATGGTTGATTTTGTGGAATGAATGCGTATCATCCTGGTATTATTGTTCATTTTGTAGGCCTGTCACTTGGCTGAAAGTTGAGCCACAGGGGTTTAGTTCCATTCTTGGCTTGAAGGGTGTCTGGAGGCCATAGTCTTGGGAATTCCACAGTCTTCATCAGACCAGTTTTCCTGGTCTTTTTTTAAGACGGATTTTTTCCACATTTTTCTTCCACTCTTATCTGGGACCTCCTATTGTGATCCCTTTCATAGCAGTCTGGAATGGCAGCTGGGTGCCTTCTAGTTCTTCTA